TTGGTTCTCTGCACACCATATCTGTGGCTATGACAGGAAATAATTACACCTGACAAAGAAGGAGCATCCAGCTCTTTAGGGATAAAACAAACTTTGAACTATCTCAGCTGTGTATTCAACATGTGCTTTACTGGTCCTTCCACTGTTTATTATTGCCAGACAATGTAATGAACAGAACTTGGTATCTTCTTCGGGAATCAGTCTTGTCAAGGCACTGGCAAAACAGAACTTCAATGCGTTATAAAACACTTCTTTATTGCTCAGCCTTGCAGCACTTTTAATTGTCATCTCAACAAAGCCGTACTGATTCTAATGTTACTTATTTCTCTAACAGGACAAACCAATGCTGCTGATCACATTATACAGCTGCAGTGATTGAAATAATATTTTAACTGAAGTAAACCAGCAAAATTGCTGTGATAGTTTATGGCCAAAAAAGCACGTGGGACTTCTGCTGCTGCAGTTCTCTCTGACAGATATACGTGACACTCTTGCAGAACATATTCCTGCTTATCCTCAAGAGTCCCTCAATAACATTCATAGCAACAGGAACCTGGTAACAAGAGACCAAGTGGAGGAGCAAACTATAACATTGTTCACTGCACTACATTTGCATTCTATCATACATGCTAGCACAGGTTAAATAGTGATACTCTATTATTTTCCTGAGTGCAATTCTGTTACATGCCCTGAAGAAGAGTAAAGGACATCTACACCAACTTTGTAACTTGTGCCATGGTACAAGACTTACAAGTGCCGCGCCCTGTTTTTGTCTGCTCAAGCTACCAGACAGCACCTAAGTTACGGATAACAAGATGAAATGCACACAGTTCTTCTGCACAGCTACTTTTTCAGGCTCTTCACTGATACAGACAAGAAGTAGAGTGTTCGTTTATATTCGTCTAGTGTCTTGAAGGATTTATTAGCAACTCAAAAAGCCAAATCTTTCTATACTTGAAACCTGAGGCTCTCCATAGGAAAAAATGACAACAAGGATATTGAGTTACCAAACCAGCATGACAGAGCTAACTTTAAACCCTTTTATGACTCACAATAATTTTTTTTGCATTTTATTTCCACTGCAGTTTTTTCAGGGGCTTAAGCAAGCAGATACACAGTGTCAATGTGTTCAGGGATGTCCTCTGAAAAATCATGAAAGCAAAATGGGAGCAAACACTGGAAGGTGATCAGTGTGATCAAGTTGTATCTCCAACTCATTAGAACTATGAATCAATGCCTTATAACACAGTCTCCGTTGTTTCCTCATTTCAACTTGGAATTACGAATAGTTAATGCTATTTGGAAAGTTTAAAATTTGCTCTCTCAAGTTGTTTGTGAAACAGCCTCTCCTAAAATAGCGTCCTAGGTGCAGGAAGGAGAGAGATAAAAGCAGATCTACTCTGTCCTCCAAGACAGAATTAGTATACAAAGGCATTCTTGATCCTTATTTAGCACTGCAACTCACCATTTTACAGAGGATCTATCAGTGCAGGCAGAAAAGTCAGTAAAACAAAAAAAGAAATACGAAAATCATACTGACAAAGACCACTGGAAAGAACTGTCACTTTTAGATCATCACATCAGAGGCATTTGGAACCCAAACCACTCTTTCACAGCAAATTCCAAATAGCCCATATTCAGAAGAACGCATGGAAGAAAGAGGTAAGACATTAAAAAAACAAAGCTAGGAAAAAAAATACTTATTTGACTATCCTCAGGACACTGTCTGGACTTCTCATAAATCGTATGAGCAACTTGCAAGATTTTCCCATACAGAATTCAAGCAGACTGACCTTCTTTCTGTCCTAACTCTTGTTATTTCCTGCTAGTTATCATAAAATAGCAGTATCCTTGGCATCATTTAAAGAGATTTCCTACTTCTTTCCATACACGCAAGGAAAGAACAGGTTCTTCTGGGTTTAATAACAGCGAAATAAAGTGGCTGGGTGTACGGCGGCACATGCTTAAGTAGAAGTGTGTGACTGCTGTTCCCTTGGTGTTTGGAGCAGTCTCGTCTGCTTCACGCTTATCTTTGAAAGCAGGAACATCTTAAAATAAAAACTCAGTGGAGCCAGTAGGGAAGTAGTTGGCAATGTGTACTTTAAATACGCTCTGCAAACAGCTTGTAAGCCACATTGCTCGGATTGAAGAGGGCTATTTAGGTTTGTAAACTTGGGTGTAATGTCAAGTGCTCAAAAAAATTAAAACTTGTATCCACATATTAAACTTACATCAAACACCAGCACAGACTGTCTTAAGTACAGTGTGTGTATTCACTTATGAGCAGGATAGGGATTGATGTTTTGGGGTTTTAATTATCAACCAAGAAGGGGTTTGAGGGAAAAGGGACAGTGGTTCAGGTCCTAGCCCCTCCCCTGCAACACATTGTAGAATGAATGTGTCTCAGCAGTCATGGGGATAATTACCTTACGCTGTTTTCTTTCCACTGAGTCCTGGCAGAAGGGCAGGCAGGGAGAGAAGACATGCGTGTGCTCACAGAGCTTCACAACAAGGACATTTTTGTTGCAGAGCAGATTATGGAATTGAAAGGAAATAGAAGTCATTGTCTTTAGTTAGACAGCATTAATTTGTGACCTGCTAGCTTACATGTCTGCAAAACGACTGCAAAACAAGTGTCCAGGTTAAAAGAAAGTCTACCTACAAGCAATGCACTCAAAATGTTTTAACTTTTCATTTTTATCTTAAATGCTAAGCAATTTTAAATCAACCTGAAGATGCCAATCTAAGGCTTCAACCTGGTTAAACCTGGTGGGCTAATCACATGATTCAATGGGCCCTTCTACCTTTAAGAAATAATTATTTACTTTCTTGTGTTTCCATGCTTTCTTGTATTGAACTCTCCCACTACTGTTCTCACTCTGATGGGCAGGACCAAAGAAACTGGTACAAATCTTTCTGATTTTATTTTTAGCTTTTATGCCCACTCATCCCATCTTTTGCCTCTTACACAAATAATCCTATTATCGATTTGCAGCACCTGCATAATCAGAACAATCAGGTCCTGTTTAAATGTCACCTTGAGAGCACTCAACAATTCAAAACATGTTGGTGATCAGCAGTTATACCACCCCAGGATCTATAGCAGCTACCATTAGGCTTGCAAATGAGATTTTGACTGCTTTGACTGACAATGCAGGGCAAGTAAGTGCATACTAATAGCGGAAAACATACTACACATCCAATGGCACCACAGCAGCAAACACACAGAGTATCAAGCAATAATCGTGCAGTTTGTCACTGATCCTGTCACTGTTGCCATACGTCTGTTCAGCAGAACTACCCGTGATCCACTCAGGGACACCTGCCCCACACAACCCCACTTTGTGTCGCACAGTACGACTGCTCTCCTTGCACAGAGGTGGAGCAGCGCTCCACGCACTGCTTCTCCAAAACAACTGGGATGGGAAGGAACAGTGAAGTGAAATTCCCAATGACAGCATCTTTGCTTCTCCTCAGAAAATGGTGAGAGCACAACAAAGGTGCTATGCATGAGGGGTCAGTGGAGTACCACCGAGACTCTCATCTTGCAGAAGTTGCCAAGTCAGGATGGGACTGCTTGACACTTTATGCTGCTGCATGAGATTAGATCTCTCAGACTTAAACAGACAGATTTTATGCTAAACACTGGGACAACCAAGGCTCAGGATGCACGTGTTGATGTTAATTTAACAACTGCAATACTGAGAGATGCAAATGCTCAGATTGGGAATCTCTTCCTTCCTCATTCTGTCAGAGCTGGATTTGCTAATCTGGCAATAATGTCAAGCACATCCTCTCCTACCACTTCTTGGAAAAGGAATGTGTTTTTATATTTATTCATACATTATTTATATTTTTTCATGCAGACCCCCCTCATCAAGGTGACCTTCATCACGAATATGTATGTAGATATATCATGTATGCAAAACCATAGCTCGGATTCCATCCTATACCTTTGCCTTTATAAATTAAAAATATCAGCTGAGGTTGGAAGGTTACATTCAAAGTCACATTTTAAAGACAGCTGCTACTTTGTGCTCTTCATCAACTACTTTAAATGTTCTACAAAAGCAGTTAGCCTTATTGGCCCTCATTTGCAAGGAGGCACATACTTGTTATGCTCAAGTCACACAGGGAAAGGAACAACCCTCAGAGAAGAGTCTGGCTGTCCCAAATTCACCGTTCTAGAAAAATAACTGTCATTGGGCCATGAGACACAGAATTTTAAGGGGGTGAGGGGACACAACACCTGTAAGTTGAAATTTAATAACATTATATACTAAGAAAAAATAAATCATATAATACGGTAAATCCCTCTTCCCCACCAAAAAAAAAAAAAGACGTCTCCTGCAGGAGTCAGCAACAACTCCAGACTTGACAGCAATAAGCTGTCACCCTGCTGAAGAAGGATGAACAACTGATTTACAGGGTGCTGCGACTGCCTCTGTTGGATGGATTTTGAGGCAGGCATCGAGACCCGTCCATGAGCGGCGGTACACACTGGGACGAAACCCCGGGGGCCACGACCGGGAGTGCCACCACATAATGTGCATCAGGGCACGGGCCGCTGCCAGGGCCCGTGAGCACCGAAAGGCTGCAGAGAGGCACGAACCGAGATGTTCCCCCTCCTCATCCCCGCTCCTGAGGCCTTTCTGCTCCCGGAGGCAAAGAGGGGCTGGGGCGGGCCCGAGCGCGTTAGCCCGTCCCGGGCTGTGGTGCGAGGCTCAGTGGCCGGACAACGGAGAGCCCGCGCAGCGGCTGGGGCTCGGGAAAAGTTGTTAGGTACAAGTGTAAAGTAATAAAAAAACAAACACAAGAGTCTCCTCTTGAAGGCGGACACATGTGGCGCAATTCGCTTCCCTGCGACAGCGGGCGCCCCCCCTCCCCAGCCTCCGCCCCTCAGCGCCCCGCCACCACGGAGCGGCCGACACGGAGCGGCCCGACACGGCTGTGGGGAGACGAAAAGCCCCGGCCCGGTCCCGCACGCCTGCCCCGCTCACCTGCCGCCCCCGGCGCGGCCCCGCTCACCTCATGGCCCAGCTCCTCAGGCACCGCCCGCTCCCCCCCACCCCCAGCGCCGGGCCAGGGAGCACAACGGCGGCGGCAGCTCCTCCCGTCCCTGCGGCGGTGCCCAGCCCCGGGGCGGCAGCGGGCGGAGCGGAATAGGGCCGGGCCGCGGGGCGGGCTGGCGGCAGGGCGGTGTTCGCTTCCCGCCCCGCGGAGAGCCGAACCGTGCCGTGCCGTGAGGAGGCCGGAGGCCCTGCCACCCCAAACCAAGGGTTTGTTCGGTAACGGCGCTATCGAGAAACTTGTTACAAGCGAAGTGTGAGCACCCCGGCCTGTGGCTTTCCGACCGCCGCTGCTGCTGTGGCCGTACGTTGTCGTCGTACTCGCAAAGATCCGCACAGCTCCCTCACCTGCTCTGGTGGTAGTAAATTACTTCCAAGAAGGCATCTCACGGCGTTAAGCATTTCCTTTACACGCACCGATTTTACTTCCTGATTGTGGGTCTTTACTGCAACTTGCAGTCTGGCAGGGCAAGAGGTGCAGGAAGGGAGAGCATGCACACCCCAGGCCAGCTGGTGTGTGAGCATGTGGCTCTTGTCCTGCCGCAGGTCATCCTTGTGGAGATGCTCCCCGTGACCACCAGATCAGTGCTGGAAAACCACGATGAGGTCCAGCTGAGCCTCCTCTTCCCAGGTTGAACGAACCCAGGTCGTCCAGTCTTGCTCCCTGTGGCATTTTCTCCTCAGTTAACCATTTCCGTGCACCTCCATGGGACCTCTCCAATTTTCCAGCGCCTCTTCTGAACTGAGAAAGACCACAGCTGAGCTCAGTCCTCCAGGTGGACCAGCAAGTGGCAGGGTGGCATTATGGCCTCCTGTGATCTGTTGGTTCTGCTCCTGCTGACACAGCCTGGAGCAGAGTTTGCCTTCACAGCTGCAAGGGACGTGTCTGTTTAGCTGGCAGGACACCGGCCCCCTGCTCCTCTTTCAGCAGCACTACACTGCAGCCAGTCAAAGACCCACCTAATCTAGGGCCCGCTTTTAGAGAAGGTTGGACCAGATGACCAGGGATCTAGGGACCTCTTCCACCCTACTTAGACCTTCCAGTGATCAGTGTTGTGTGGCTTTGGGAACTGTCTGTAAGTTGAGTGTTATGTCGACTCTGTTTGAAACAAGTGTGTTTGATCGATTAATTACCATTAATTGAAATGGTGACGGTTGGCCTGAAATAATCTAGATGTACTCTGCAACATGCCTGTGAGAACTTTTCAACATGATCATCTTAAAAAAAAAAAAAAAAAAAAAAAGCTTTGTTTAAAGTAGGTATCATTTAAATTGCCCAAGCGTGATTAAATCGCCTACCCATTAAGTCAAGTTCCACTGTTAGGTCTCTTTTAACAGTACATGTGGTCTCAGCAGTGGCCGCCAGATCCAGCTAGGATTCTGGTAGGTAAGAGTAACCTTTCTGGGGCAGTTTCAAGCCCTACTGCACCAGCCATCTCTCCACCAGACTTTTTGTCAGAAATCATGAAACCCACAGCAGTCAGCAGTGGGATATGCCACTGCTGCGGCTGCTACAGTTCACTGTCAAATTTATTAACCTAAACTGCCAGTGGCAGTATAGGCATGCTAACATTATTGTATGTTATGAGCTAAGGCTTGGGCAATTTGAGAGCACCAAACATCTGTGGTGGGGCTGAGGAGGACTGAGGCAATCAAAGGCAGTTTATAACTACAGTGTTACTGCTATGCTGCTGAAATGCACCCTGTGTCACATCCAGCTTCTGGTTTATACCTGTAAGGACACCATGGCAGTGAGAAACCACATAGAAATAGTTCCAGTATTTTGCTAGGATAGATACCATCACACTGCTCTAAAGATGTCTCCTGCAGGAAGGCAGGACAGGAATCTCCATGGCTTCATGAACACCACGGGACTGTTGCTGTACACTGCTGCTGTTAAATACAGCATCTGTGGGCTCCTAAGGCCTTAGCCATTAAAGATGAGTAAGATGAGGTTGATTTTTACCATGTCCATACAAACAAGCACTTTCATAGGTGTATTCTTTTTATTCATTCTCTCCGCAGCTCTTGAAAACCCATGATTTCTGACAGCAGCAAACCAGCCATGAATTTTACACTCACCAGAATGCTCCCACTCTGACAGTGTGCAATGGAGAAATGCAGAGAGTTTAGGCTGGTGCAGCAATATCAAAAGGATTCCCAAACTGAATCAGGCCAGGCAGTAAGTTCCAGTGTCTTTCCCATTTCTCAAGTGGGTATTGAAGTAAATATGGAGCTAAGCTGCTGAGCTGGTTGTTGGAGTAATGCTCTGGCTTTTTGCAGATAAATCAATATATGGAATCATATGGATACAGTCTTGTTATAACTAGCTGCTTTGGAGAAAGCACACAAAGATAAGAAGCCTCACCGTGTACACCTGCTGCAGTTTAAGGCTTTCCCTGACAGGTACCCAGCCTGGGCCTGACTAGAATAGATACAGGCTCCACTCCTCCCTGCTACAGGCGGCCCTTCAGACACAGCTCAATGACAAAATGAACTTTGTGTCTGCTTTCTGATGGGTCTGGGAGAAAGCACCCAGAAGCCTACATGCTAGGTCCAGCACACAGCTGTGTTACAAGTTGGTTATCATCTGCAGAGATGGTTGAATATAGCAGGGAAATACATTTTTCCTCCAGTCTCATTCAAAGGACAGGCTGAAACACCTCTGCTGAACTTTTTGAAGTGGTTCAGCCCAGGGATGAGACATGGAGTGAAAAACTCAGCAACTGCAGTCAGAAAGAGCTGAAACTCACAATGCTTAGAGAGGTTGTGTATGTCCCATCCCTGGAAGTGTTCAAGGCCAGGTAGAATGGAGCTTTGAGCATGGAAGCTGCCCTTGCCCATGTCGGGGGGTTGGAGCTACGTGATCTTTAAGGTCCATTCCAACCCAAACCATTCTGTGATTCTAGATTTTACTGTGCACAGTGTTGGGTGACCCTAAGTGTTGGTTCCTCACGTTAAAAGTACGACTAATCTGTGCAAAAGGCTTTGTGGCTTAGCAGAGGAGGGCAGTCCATCCGAGTGTCACTAGTGCAGGGTGTGCAATGTGCAATAGGTGACTTCAGCGTCTTTCGACGTTTCTGCAGTGAGGTGTCCTGCCCTCTGGTGCCTGCAATGCCGTCTGCCTCAGTCGCCTCTCCGCTCCCCGTTGCACGCACCGGCAGGAGCCGCCGGGCCACCGTGGGTGCAGAGCTGTCCACCTCACCTGCTGCCGGGGACACTGACCAGAGAACGGGTATTTGGAGGGGAAGGCGTCGGGAAGGGTCGCTGTGGGGGAGTGGTGTGACAGATGTGCTCACACTAGAGCTCACTGGGATGAGTCCCCCAGCCAGCAGTGCCAGCAGTGAGGCCTGTGCCGCACAGCCTGCCTGTCTGCTGGCATCACTCCAAACAGCTAACAGCTACACCATTACCCCAAATCTCTCTTCCCCTCCTTACTGTTGCTCACGGTTTTCCACTTCTCCAGTGACTGGCAGGATGTGGGGGGTCCCCTTCCCTGCTAACCTGCCCTCACTGGGGCTGACTTCAAGTACAGGTCCATTGATGGAAAACCGCTAGTGCAGCTTCATAGCTATATGGCCCCATAAAAACAAAACTTGTTACAGCAGCTCTACCACAATACCCAATGCTCCAGTTGTATGCATTCTATTGAAGTAAAAATGCAGGGCATACAATTAATTATTTTTTATGATAATTTATGAATACATGTTAGTGTCACAACCTGTTTAAATAAAATAATTCAACGCTTAAAGTAAATTTTCCAGCAATCAAGCACAAAGCAGGAGTGACAAAAATTAAAATATTCCAGGTTCCTCTTGGAACATTCCAAACCCAAATATTCAAGTCGGCATTTGTTTGTATCTTTTCAGGAATGATCCACAGCAGTCCTCTAGGTTAATCTCCTGTTAATACATGACAAAAAAATCATTCAGTAATGAGGAATCCTTAAACCTGCCATGTAGTGTTCCAAAAATGAGCTGTAACATTTACAACTGTCATAATCATGCCACAAAACGTTTTTTATTTCTTTAGATAAAATTAGCCTGATGTCAATTACCTGATTTATATGAAGTCATGACAGGAGTCTCCATGATCGAGGAGAGAAAAAGCAATGCAAAATCTGTGTCCCACTTAAAACTGAGGTAAACTTCCCACTGACTGCAACGCCTAAACCAGTTTCATTTCAAGCCTTCAGTTCTGGTCATGTGCATAAAAATAAATTCTTCTTACAAACTTACAGATAGATGTAGTGAGCACCAGCTACCTTAATGCCATACACATAATACATTTTGCTGGATGCTTTGAGGAATCAATCATAAATGGAAAAAAACCCTGTTGAAATACTATCAACTTATCAAACAGAGGAAGAGTTTACACAGGAATATTCCAGTTTTGAAAAGCATCCTTGGGTGTGTTAGTCTACAACCTGTACTGTGCAACTCCAGACATTTAGTTTTAACATATTCATATCACATCAAACCCCTGAGTATTTGTTGGTGCTTACATTTCATTACTTCTATTTTTCAGCTGCCTACAGAGAGAGGTCAATACCTGACACCTTCCAGTGGAGCCTTTTCACATAAGCAATAGCTGCCCTTGTTATCAGTGGATGTCCTAGCCCAGGATGGAGGGAAAGCAGGGTCTGCCGTTGAAACCACATGTATAAGTGATCCAGTGAAAAGTCTAGGCATCCCTTTTGAGAGTGTGAGATGTGGAGCAGGTCCACATCCTCTTCAGGTGTCATGCCTGACATTCCACTCTCAGGCTGGGATGTGGCCTGCTGGGTTAGCATGTATCTCTAACCTGCAGAGAGGAGGTAGCACAAAGCAGTCTGGGCAAGGCAGGACTTGCACCACAGCCACAGCTATCAAGGAAACAGTGTTGCTGCAATGGAGCATAGCTGTACTTTTATGAGAGGAAATGCCCCACTTGAGGAGCTGGCTCATGGACAGGTACACATGGCAGTGCAGGTGCATTTTGTCAGTCATGTATGATATCATTGCAGTGAACCAGCAGGAAAGAATGATTACAAAGAAAACTGCATGTGTGGCTCCAGCCCCTCATGAATGCTCTGGGAGTCAGAAAACTGAGGAGGATTTTGCACTGGCAGAAACTCCCAGTGGTAGACAATGCTGAACCTAAAGAGCTTCAGAAACAGCAGCTTTTGCTCTATTGCCTGCTGAGATTCCCATCCAAGTTTGTCAGGAAAAGAGATACTAACATGAGTGAAAAGAAATAGAAGTGCTGTAGTAACTACTTTTCAAAACAGTGTAAGTATGGAAACTGTTTTCTGACAATGTTATCAAAGCATTTGCAAAGGTAACTAGGATGCTTTCTATGTCCTTCTCATGACCTTCTGGCACAGGGTGTGGGACAGCATTACTTTTCAACTGTAAATGTCCCAGGTTTTTTATGGATTGTATTGTGTAGAATGGGATAGAATGTCACTGACATTTATTGCCTAGGAATCTCTGTTGATTCTCACAGTCTGAAATCAGCAATATCAGCCTATGGTAAACTTTCTTTAATCCTCTACTGTTGCTTAGGTTCATCCTTGAGCATGGCTAGCGCACAATACTTGTAAGTCAATAAGAATTCATTTCTTTTAAGATATTCATCTCCTTTTACTTGATGACTTGCCTGCTTGTTACTCAGTTTCCAAATCCTCTGTGCTTACTTATTCCAATTCTAACTGGAAAGACATACGTTGAGAAGACTATTACACAGTAACAGGTTGGTCAGTCTCCTCTTTCTCTGTGACTGGTTGGTCAGTAGCAACTGTCTCACCAGATGTCTGGGGTTCTGCATGTGTTGGCTTGGGCTCTTCTGGTGGCTGAGGCTCTTCAGCAGGTGCCTGGGGCTGATCAGATGGAGGTTTACGGCTAAATGCCTCTAAGCGGTTTTCAACAACTGTACGAACCAAGGCTGAAACAGAAAAAGACACCAACAAACATGGAGGGGGGGAAAAAACTTAATTTGAGATTATTTTATATATTACTGACCTATAACTTCTTAAACAGGGGAAAAAATGAAATAACGCTAAAAATGAAAGAACACTTGAATTAGAACAACCATCCCTGCTACTGATTTAAAAGAGTTCACCTGGATTGTTTTGTTCATTTCCTCATAGTTGTTCTTCTCTTCCAAAGCGCATCAGACTGCCAGGAACGAGGACTGGCCAGGTTGTACACAGCATGATGTTTTTGGCAGTGGGAATTACTGGAACTATGGGAGTCATCGAAAGATTTTCTCTTTCTGAAAAGCAGCTGTAAACCACCTAGTCTTTATTGGTTTTGCTGCCAAGGCTTTGTAAATTTCTCTAAACACCATACCTCTCTCAATGGGTACAAAAAAAAAAAAAATCAGCACTTACTTTGATACCTATAATTTTGATTATAAAAATATAGAGGCCAACAGTGAAAGAAGAGAGGTTTAACATAGAAAATAGGACAAATAATGAAAGAGCTTCATTGTTGAATCATGGGTTGACTTTAGCAAGTAAAAGAAGGAATGGTCACCTCTAAGATGACAAACAACATAGCTGCCTTCCACTGAGGGTGCTTCCTTTGTAGTTCATAGCTCTTTTACTGAACAGTGACAAATCCTTTAAGTAACAAAGTAGCTTCTTCATTCAATTGGGTTAAAAATGGATCCTTAGAGACTTTTCCTATGTTTCTGCGTAAGGGGGCAAAGAAGCCATTAACTCTCTCAGCTGAGGTTGTGTCTGCCTTTATGAATTTGAAGAATGCAATTTATGATTCCTTTTGCAGAGGTGATGTTTATTCAACAATGGGTGACTGGCTATAAGCCAGGAAATACAGACGATAAATAGCAAAACAGGGATGGCTGATATTACTTATTAGCCTGCTCCAGGTGCTTTGTATCTTAGAACTGGTGCAGGACCATGATATCTGGTTAAAAATTAAACAGAAAGATTTAACAGGGATATGATAGATGTTCTCATCATTAGTGCATCCTGCAGCAACATTCTTCTTGGGATGTTTATTTGGTAATTACATACAATACTTTTACTTAAAACAAGAGAAAATTCCCTTTCCACTGAAGAGCTACGTAAAGAAGTGATCCTTAAGCGTACATACCAGCATTTACATCATAGGATAAAATACCTAACAGACCAGCTGTACTAATCCAAATTATACCCTAACAACAGAAAATAGACCCAAAGGAAAAAAAAAACAACAACAAAATCACAGCTTAAGGAAAACTATAGGAATGATGATTCAATTCAAGTATAAAAAGTGGTTTGATTTAGGACCACCATGGTGAACACATATTCATCATAATGATGTGTAAGACCGAGTTTAGATTATTCAGGTGTTTCAGCTGCAGCCTCTGAAGACCGACTAATAAAAGAACCTGAATACTAAGCTTGAGCAAGTCCAAAAGATGGATGATATTTTAATCTATGTCAAAAGCAAGGACATAATTATTGACTGTTGAGGAAGTAAGCCCTTGTTTTGATGAAAAGTGCTGGTCACCTGACTTCTGTCAACCATAGCCTACAATTATCCTTCTCCTTTCACACAGGATAAACATATTACTCCATAGCCCAGGGAGCTTACACAAACAAGTTAGGAGACTTTCATGGTATACACATGGCTGTAAACAAGATGGGCTTTTCTGTTCTCGCTGGCACAATCTGGCATGCTACAAAGAACAGCATAGCAGTAACACGTGAGAAATAACAATTCTATAGTGAAGAACTGGTGTTCTCTAACCATTCTACTCCCGCCAAATGTACTGCATCTCCCAGTATCAGCACATCTCAAACAGTGTAAAGACAGTAGAGAGGACAATGCAGAATGACTGACACTTCTATTGTTTAATCTGAGAATCAATTACTTAGATGTATGTAGTAGTAGGTTTCCAACATTAAAACCCCCACAACCAACCACGACATAAAAAGCCATGGGTACTTGCTAAAATGACACCTCCTACATTAACCCACCATGACCTTGTAAACATAATATTTGTTTTTCCCCAGTCAGAACAATCAAGAACATTAAGTAGCCCAGATTGCATTCCAGGATTTAGTAACTTACAGTCAAGCATTATCCTTGCCAGAACCTTCCCCTCTAGTTCTTCTTCTACTTCTGTCATCAACCATGGAAGGAATTCTGTCTCAATATCTGCAAGAATTTAGCAGGAAGAAAGAAAAATATCTTGTAATCAAAGATGAGCAACATGATCTTGGGACTGTTTTCTGTTTTTCATTTGCTACGACCAAAGGATTAACATCCTTGCCAAAAGACACTTGCTTTGCAAGGGCTGGAAGAAATCTCTCAGGTGTTGTTTGGTTTCTTATCTCCTGCCTCTCTTACACATTGTTATGGACCCAGAGCAGAGTCCTCTGAGCTACAGTGATTTTTAAAGAGGTCTGGCACCCTTGAAGGGCAAGCACAGATGAGATACACAGTAATGCTCTAGTGAGATGAAAATAACTATCCTGAACAAGTCAGGAGAATAACATTTCCTGCCTTTCTCTCCAAAGACGTCTGGCTTCTGATCTGCTGAAAGCATTTGTTCCCTCTGACTTAAGGAGCTCTTGTTTACCCATGTATTTCTCAAATCATGCTCTTTGTATGCCATGGTCCCTAAGCCTGCCCTGTTTGCAAAATACACTCAGTTTCTGTGTTTACCCCATGACTCATTCTGGAGAAAGTGTAACCATTCCCAAGCTGTGGTCTCTGCAGGGCCTGTGGAAGTGAAGTGCAGCAAGGTAACCCACAAGAAATGTTGCTGATTCTAAAAGCTTGGGAGTCACTGATTTACAATTCCAAAATTATTTTCAGGGCCTAATTCTAACTAACTTCTCCCTTGCCCTGATAAGCATTAAAAAAGATTCAGTGACATACGGCTTGCTTTGCCTGTCCTATCAAAACACATTTAGTTCAGTTTGGATCTCTCTGCTCTACCAATCTTAACCACCCACTATTTCTCTCCAGTTCAAGAGCAGTCCCATTCATTATCACACTATCAGCTCCTGCTTATTCTTCACTATTGTACAGAAGACCAATAATGTTTATGTTAAAAAATATGAATTTGGAAACTATCCATTCAACCACAAATGTAAATAAAGTCTTATGACATTATACTAAATATAGGACAATAAGCTATGTTTCATGGTGGTTTTGACCCTTACGTTACTTAGTTTACATGTGAAAAAAAAAAAATATACAAACCCCTTTCTACAGGGTCATAAAAAAATCCACCCTCACGAAGATTGTTGAAGACCGAGGGAATAAGATCAGCCAAGTAATGCTTAGCGAATGCCTGAGCTGCAATTTTCTCTGCAGTCTCTTTCTGTTTCTTCAGCATTTGCATGTGCTGGCGTCTGCGACGTTCCTGTCAAGGCAATAATGTGTGTAAAATTTTCAGGCCTTTAGCTGTTACTCCTTTGATCTAGACTTTGAAGAATGATCACTGTGTGAGAGTCATAAATAGCAAAGATAATCAAAAGTACAGGTACTTATGGTCTCTACCTGGTATTTGAGGCCTCTAACTTTCACAAAGCCTCATATGAAAGAGTGCTTGAAAGCAAACTTGTACTCAATTTCTGGAGTACTATAATCCACAGGGACTAGAGGGAAACATGTTCCTTTGGTATATCTTTTCTGATTTTGAGAAGTTTGTAAAATAAGGGCCTTGCAGCTGGACAAATTAAGCCCTTCTCCAATATCATAGTATCCATTAAACTCATGACTCTTTGCTTTACTATTGCAGATCAAACTGATCATTGGCCCTGAAAGGAGATGAAATTGGATCAAGATTTCCTTAACTTTTCATCTTCCAATATTATATCCTATTTGATACAAGATTAAACTCAAAATGATCCAGGAAACATTAAAAAAGCAATTATACAAGGCTAATAAATAGTAAGGAAGACTTGCCTTTTGTATTTCCTACTATTTATTATTATTCCTGAATTCCTACTTACTGGATAATACTAATACAGCTTAACACTTTGAGATCTTGACAGGTATGTGTGCACATTTAGTAGTGCATGTGTTGGGTGTGAAGGATCAGAGGGCGTCTCTCTTTCAAGCACTCTGACATTTAGCAGTTATTATAACAAAAAAGTCTGAGTAACAGCTGCACCAGGTACAGAGAAAAATGCTGTTAGGTTTGGCCTCTCGATCAGAGGCCTGAGTCACTGGAGCATGGCTTCTCCAAATAAACACAATAGCATGGTGCTGGTGCATGAGAGCAAATAGCAGAGTGCAGGTATAGCACCAGAATGCTTTGAGAAATATCAGACTTGACAGTACCCTTTGGGGCACAGCCAGCTTACTTCACAGCTTGTCTTTCAGTACTGGAATTGGTTTTCTCTCTTCTGACAAGCATTCAGACAGACTCTTCAGAAGTCCTACCTTCTCCTCTCTGTACCGCCTGTCCTGCTCTTCCAGGCGCTGTACTTCAGCAAGCTCTGCGTTGCGCAGCTCTGCATAGGCACGCTGATGTGCCCACAGCTGGGCCAGCTCTTCCTCCTCCATGACTTCCAGCAAAGCTTGCTCAACCGTTTTCCCAATCAGCACTTCCAGGATCGGCTTGACTTCAACGTCAAAGTCAAACAACTGAGGATGGGAGTCAGGGAAACAGACATAAATGTCTCTTGATCACAATCACTCTTAACAACTTTGCAAGGAGAAAAGGAGGATGAGCAAAGCCCCTGTGCTGAAGGCAGGGCTGAGGAATGGTGGGGGGGAGAGGTGGTGCTCAGTGTCAGGTGAGGCAAGAAGCATGAATGCAGCTGGGGGCTAAGTGGGCTGGAGTGAGACACCACACACCCTACCACAGACACTGTGGGGCTGCAGGGAGAAACAGAGCACTTACCTGGAGCTGTTTCCTGTGTTAAGCCCTTCTTGGGCTGGACACATTCTATAGGGAAGAGCATTTCTCAACTCTAGCTCTTATCTGAAAGCAGCAGAACCAGTGCACATGGAGAAACATCTTCCTTAATTTTGCACTTAACCTCACAGCAGACTTTGGAGAGGTTTGTTGGGTTTTGGCATGATCTGTGAGGATAAGTTCCTTTCTGTTTCTGCCCTGATTTTTGCAGCAGAAGTGTGTTTTGTATGGACGATGTGTTTTGACAGCACTTGCAGACCTGACTTTCCTCCATACCTCTCCTGATAATTGCGTGGCCACATCTTTTCCAGTTTTGGCTGGTATGAAGAATGGACTGGGTGGTCTGTCCAAAAATGCATCTGTTTGACACTCTACATCAACCTCTATTACCCGGTCACTAATCTCTTCCAAATACAGTTCTAGAAACAAAAGTACAACGAATGCTGAAAGTTGGATTCCTTTTATTTTAACTCTCAACTATTTTTGATGACTCTACAGTGTGACTTATATCCAAACAGTGCAATAAAATGACTTCTATGAATTTTAAAAAAAAAAAAAAGAAGACAAAAAGACACCTCAACTTAAACTCTTGACAGTAGGAGATACCCAGAGCTTAGAGAGGGATCACAGGTCAGTAAGGGAGCACCTGAAGAGCAGCACAAAGTACTTCCAGCCACTCCAGCTAATAAGCTGCCTTCATCCGGGGCCCAACTGAAATGTCTCTATGCCAATGCAAGAAGAGTTAGAGGCGTTCACACACCTGAAGGGCCATGACCCCACTGGCATTACTGGTGATTCTATGAAAACATAGATCAGTCAAATAAGGGTGTTATAAGGGGCTACAATAGAAATTATTAGAGAAACTTCAATTCTATTATTCTACAAGTCTAACCTTAACCCTCTGTGATTCTACCAACTGTATCATGAATTTAGTAAGTGAATATAGAACAGCAAGTTTTTGTTTTCAGATTAATTAGAAAAAAGAAATAAAGTCAGCCTTTTACCTGTTTGCACCTGAACATGCTCTCTGCCTTCCACAGGCTCAGGTGTTTTTGGTCGCATTTGCTCTTTTGCACGCTTTCTAGCCAGTGCTCTTTTCCATGCTTCTTTCTGCCTTTGAATCTCAAAGGGAGTGGGTGGGGTAATCTGAGCAGGGATGAAGAATATAAAAAACATCACTTTGTACTCTAAAATGATACTAATTTCTCTCTACACAAAAAGTGGTTGTTTGATTTTAATGCCACAAATCTAGCATTTCAGATTGACTTTTCTGGGTCGTGACCCTGAATTTTCAGTTACCTTAAAGACTGTAGGGCATGAAACTAATAAGTTGTGCTAGCTGCCTAAGCACATGCCGATAGCATCTTACACTAAGAGCAATTAGTTGTTATTTGGAAGTGGGTATTACACACACAACTTTGCTTTGTGAGATAAAGTATATTAAAAAGTTCTTGCTGACAAGTGAGAGTTTCTAGGTAAAGCTTTAAGAAGGTCAAATGGACTTCAGTTATCATATTATAAACAGTTCTGTTTGCTAGACAAAAACTATAGGTTCTTCATTGCTGATGAAGTAAGAGAAACCCATACTAACTTCGAAATTCTGTAGTCGATTTATGAATTGAAATGAACATCAGTTTCAAACTTCGCAACAGAACATATGTGAAATTCACTCTAAGAAACAGCTACTGAAAAACACAGTTATTTCCACAAAGTAGCTTTTAAAAATGCAGACTGCAATTCTTATATGATCAAATTATCTATGTAGAAATATCCCCTGAAAATAAAGCATCACTAAAACATTTGCTACGAATCAAGAGAAATAAAATACTTTCACCTCCATACAAACAGCTTTTGCATACAGCTGGATCATTTGCTTCTATAGTAGAATAAGTCAAACACTATTGCTATTATCATTGATGACACCTTACATATGATAACAGATTATACAGCAATGACCTGTGCCCGGGATCATTATACTAAGGGGGGGGGGGGAAGGGGGAGGGAAGGAAATAATCAGGTACTTAATGTGGAAAAAAAATATCAGAACTACAGAAGTTCATGTGAAACTAAGTGCTTTAAGAAAAGCTGAGTGCAGTCACATGCTAGTTTAACTGGAGAGCCTGTGGCTGTGTGAAGTATTTTAAGTAAAATCACGACCTCAGTAGTTAAAATTACTAATAAGGAAGAGCTCTCCTGCCCTACGTATTACTTTTCAACAAAGCTGTAACATGACAAACACCTACCACAGGTATGACTTCAAGGGCGTAAGTGTTGCCGCGCACCACTCTCGGGTCGTACATGAGGTTGGTGTAACGAACAGGCTCCTTTCCTCTGCAACATAAAGCGCAGACAGTCGCGCTCACAGAGCTGTAACCGGTACGCTAGTACCTCAGACAAGGCGCCGGGAGGACTCTGAAAGGCCAGACCCATGCAAGTCCCCTTCAAAGTTACGGGAAGAAGGACCAGCAGGCAGGGCGGCGGGGACTCCGCCCCCCTGGGAAGGGCGGCGAGGGCACTGGGGTAAGGGCGCGGAGGGCAGGAGGGTGCAGCGGAACTCGTTCGGGGAGCGGAGGCCGCGGGGCTGCGCGGCTCGACCCGCCGGACACTCACGACTCAGCGGCGTCCAGCGGCGGTCGGTACTTGGGGCGGGCGGGCAGGGTGCGAGGGAGGCTGCAGTAGCTGTAGAGGACGCCAGGAACCGCCGCCACCTCCAGGTCCCGGGGGCGCGGCATGGCGGGGGTCGGCCGGGGCATCCAGAGCGCTTGGCTGCTCACTCCCGCAACAGCCGCTCGCACCGCGGCACCCGTCCCCACGGCAACGAGAGGGCGGGGCGGGGCTAGGGCTCTGCGCATGCGCGAGGCTTCCGTGGCAGCGGCCGGTACTGTTGTTCCTCAGGCAGGTTTTCCTGACAGGGGAGCGCTAAAGGTGAGGGAGGCTCCAGGAGGACATGACTGCTCCAGAGGCACCGGGGTGCTTAGCGGAAAACAATCGCTTTAGCTGCTAACGGGCTTGCGCTTGGTGGTGCTGGGGGCTCCTCCTGCGTTGAGGTAATGAAGGAGTGTAACCGCGAGGTGTCAGTGTCCTTCTTCCGTCCTGCGTGGGCTACCCAGGGACTGGAAGGCTGCCGGTTAAACTGGCAGTGCCTTAACTCGATCTGTACGGCCACTGGGGATCAAAAATTGGCTGGAGCACCGCAAAAACCTTTTGGATGACGTTGCAGTGGTATAAGTGCCGGTGTCCGGAAAAGCAGCGCCAACAACTGCGCTCCTAATTCTGGTTTTCCATCCAAGCGTCAGCTTCGGATGCTGTAAAGGTGTCATACGATGGGAGGCAGGAGTGTGAGGTGGGCTCTGAAGTACACCGTCCCCTCCATCGTGAGCTGCCCTCCCTGTCGTGACAAATCATGAGAATGCGTTTTCAGATTCTGAGAAAAAAAAAATCTTTTAAGAGAAACATGAAAGTAAATAAAGGTTACTAATACAGTGACAGCTCTTTTTTTAACCTATGTAGGTAGTGATATGCCTTGATTACTTTGGCAAGACCAAATACATAGAATAATCCGTGCCCTTTGTGAAATCTTTGGTTCAACCATAATTCCCAGGTGTCCTGTTTCAGCTGTAGGAGTTATTTTTCTGCTTCCTAGTAGCTGGTGCAGAGCTGTGTTTTTAGTCTTAGAACAGTGCTGATAACACACTGATGTTTTAGTTGCTGCTCAGTAGCGCTTACCCTGATCAAGGACTTTTCAGTCTCATGCTTTGCCAGTGAGGAGGGCCATGGGAAGCCGTGAGGAAGCAGAAACAGGACATCTGACCCAAGCTAGCCAAAGGGATATTCCATACCACAGCATGTCATGCCCCGGATATAAACTGGAGGGAGTCCAGAAGGCCAAGATCACTGCTCAGGTCAGGCTGGGTATCAGTTGGCAGGTGGTGAGCAATTGCATTGTGCATCACTTGTGTTTATTGTTTTCTTTTCCTTTTCCCCCTTTCAGTTTCATATTCTGTCCCGTTGTAATTTTCCTTATCATTAGTAGTAGTAGTAGTTTTATGTTATACTTTAGTTATTGGACTGTTCTTGTCTCAACCTATGGGGTTTGCATTCTTTTGGTTCTCCTCCCCATCCCACCCAGATGCACAGTATGTACTGGGAAGCGAGGAATGAATCAGCCCATCTCCCATATGGCAGCTAAGAAAGGCCTGGACTGCCTTCAGCTGACTTGAAAGCTGCAGAGCAAGGGCTTTGTCTCCTTCCAGGTTTGCTGTAGATCTGTTTGTGCCTTGGAGCCACAAACTGACTATTTTTTTGTTTTGTTTTCATGAGAATCTTCTGACATTGTACCATGCCTTATGGCTTGCTGCTTGCAATGCATTCTGTAACTACTGCATGAGACCTTGAAATACAATATAAAGGTTTCTGCAATGCTGAGACTGTGTATTCCTGGGGCTCTAACTTGGACGTTGATAGCACGGGAGACCTTGTACCACAGTGCATTGCATAATGTGATGCTGAGCAGGCTAGCTGTCTCCAGTTTTCACTCTTTCTGCAGTATTGCATAATTCAGTAAGGAAGGAGGTTGATAGAGCCTCCTTTGGAGGCAGACTGCTTAATTATCAAGTAAGGACATGAAGGAGCATATTGCCTTCCCAGAGGATTGCCTTCTGTCTGGAGAGGACTATGACTGCTTTTAAATTTACAGGACTGCTTCCCTAATTTAATACTGGGTAGTTACCTAAAATTTGAGTTAAAGTTGGTTCTCCATGGTCCTGAGAACTTTAAGCTGCTGTTCTTATTCCTCTGGGCCTGCAGATAAAGGGATGGAGCTCCCAGTCTTGGAAGTAACTACTTGAGGCCAGAATGCCTTTGCCTTCAAGCAAACACACAGAATCACAGAGCAATCTAGGCTGAAAGGGTCTCGGGAGGTCTCTAGTGCAACCCCCTTGCCTAAGCAGGGACAAATTCAAAGATAGATCATATTGGTCAGGGCCTCCCGCCAGGGTTTGAAAATCTCCAGGGATGGAGATGCTTGGGATAGCCTTGAAAATCCCAGAATGCATCATGCTGCTGCTCATCAATGCCTTGATTTTAAAAGATATGTGTCGGCCTGAGAGTTTTGACATTTGAGAGGCATAGAAGCAAAATAAATACCAGAGCTAAACTTGAGTCCCTATAGTGGCATCAATATTTTTTTTAAGAAGGGTTGTTAATCTTGATATATAATTGTGAATAGGAAAAAAAAAAAAAAGCAGATCCTATCGCTCATGTCTGCAAACCAATATTATTAATCTTCCTTTTCTCTGTAGCAGTACAGCTTCCTCTTGACGCCCATCCTGAGCATGTGGGGTTGGGCAGGACTAGGAAACTCCAGTTCTGAGGGCCTTCACTTGTCCAACACTAGTGAATAATAAAATCTGATTTTTGATGATTTCCAGCCAAAATTAACAATCTTGCTTCCCTCTATCACTTCACCTCTGATTCTTAGCACCATTTTCTCTATGTTCTCTTCCCTCCGTGTCCCTCACAAGCTCTGTTATTCAGTGTGACAAGCTGCCTCTCAGGGCTTGCATTCTTGCCCTAGCCAGGGTCTGGAAAGAATTATGTACAGATGAGAAAGCGCCTTAGAGGGTGGAGCAGTGCACACTTAATTTTAAACTATCATTAATTTAACTGCTACCTGGAAAATCAGTTGTTTGGTGACCTTCTTATTTAAGCACAGACTGTGTGCTGCTAATCCTTCTCCAGCCCCTTCTTACCTCTCCCTTCCTTGAACAGGGTTCTCCCAGTGCCTTCCTTTTGCACCAAGAAGCTCTCCCTTGTATTGACGGCAGTTGTTCAACTGCACAAAACTTGGAGAGTAAGGAAGAAGACTAATCTGCTTCTGTCACCCCTTCGCTGCAGCTTCAGTGTTTGTCCATCCTGAAGTAAATTGCTTCTTATCACATCTCCGGGAGGCAGAGCAGTATCTGTGTTTTACTGGAATTAAACTGCACAGGCCAAGAACTGCACTGGGCGAAAAAGCAGACCCAGATACTGAATAACCTAACTACAAGTCTCCAGTCTCTACCTCCAGACCATCCTCCCCGATCACCTATGGAGAACTAGCAACTGCTGTGCTCTTTCACATACCCAAAGACTTCTCAAATGCCATGTCTTTTGGTGTCTGTAGCTCATGGAATGGGTGTGCATCTGCACATCGTATCAGGTAACATTGTGTGCTCCTTGGAGTACAGCAGTCTGTGGAAGTTCTTGAATGACACTGTTGTTACTTTCGCACCTCATGACCAGTTGCGCTAAAGAAAACTGGTTGGTGAGTTGTAAGCAAAGCTGTGCAAAGTGATGGAGAGACAGAATTCACACCTAGGGAGAAGAGGTGAATGAGGAAACCTTTTCCTTAGTGCATAGAGGAAATAGAGGGCTATGCCCTACATATTATGAGGTTGAACTGCATAGCCCAAGAGTTCACAGTAAGCATGTGGAACAACAGACAAATCTCTAGTCTTTTCCATAAGAACATCTTCTCTGATCATCTGCCTGGGAATCTGTTTGGGTTTGGCCTTAACATCTTTTAAAAATACAGTTTTTTAGTTTTGGCCTGTGTGAATACTGAAGGTGCAGGGTTTGAATGTGGATGGTAGAATCTGTTAAGGAAGTTGGTGTAAGGTTTGTGGGTTGTAGGAAGGAAGAGTTTAAAGCAGCCGTTGGATCAGTTCTGTAAATAGCTGGTTGGCTAAAGAGCATGTTCTGTTTAGAAAGTGTGAAAACTGTCATAGAAACCTTTTCGTATTATTACACAGTGGAGGAAGCAGAGCTCAATGGAGTCAACCATTTTTGAGATTTATGAACCACTTGTTCCGACTTATGCACTCTCCCCTTGCAGAAGAACACTAAGAATTTGGAAGTGGTTTACTCAGAAGTGAGTTTTAAATTGGTATATTTATCACAGCAAATAGAAAAGACTAATTTAAAACAATAAGAGTTATATGTTCTATTAAAAAAAAATGAATAGTTAGCATTTCTGAGTAAAAAAAGGCAGAAAAAACAGTTGTTCATCCAACATCCACAGCAACTTCCTGTTGGCTATGTATATGAGAGTCAGCTGTCTGTATAAGGTTTGTATCGCTTCCAACAGTGGCTGCCCTTTTCCCATGGATTTTTCTCTCTATTATTGTCAGACTTTATGCTTTAAAAGTTAATTCTTCTTCTGAATTTTTAGCTTTTAGAAGTTCCTCTGAAGTTTTCACTCTGTTCTGATGACACAAGTGATAAGGACTGACTGCTTGCAAAATTCAGAGAAAAATGTAACCAGAGCACCTAACCGAGGTGAATTTCCTTTTCCTGTAATCAGAAATTGTCCTTGTGGAGACACACAATAGCCACAGTAACTGCTATCTGGCTAATGCTAGCAGGGTAGCAGCATGTTTTAATCACCTGAATTTTGCAGCTGGATGTGATCAGTTATGGACATGAAATGCTTTCTGTGTTGGACAGCTAATCAAACCAGCTTCAAAGTGAACTTAGTTACCTTTGTGCCTTAGTTTCTGACTTAATGTGATGACTAAGATTCTATGCTGCTTTCCATCTGAGACAGGCATATTTGCCATGCAGAGGGCATGCCTGCTTCACACAGCTCTCAGTGCCCCCTGAGCCTGCAGAGCAGTGGAGTAGGAGGCCTGCTGTCTTGATCATGTCTTAGTAGGCAGGTGGAATGGCTTATGCACCCATTATCACAGGCATGATTTACATTGAACAGGAATGTAGGATTGCAGGATTC